TTATTAGTCACTCTTTTTATAGAAACATTTTCGATTGTGGTAAAATACACATAACATAAAATTTACCAACTTAGCCACTTTTTAAGTGTATAGTTCATGGCATTAAGCCTATTCACATTCTTGTGCAACCATCACCACAGTCCATCCACAAAACTTTTTCATCTTGCACAACTTTATCTCTGCCTCCCAAGTCCCTGGCAACCACCATTCTACTTATTGTCTCTATGGATTTGACTAGGTACCACATATAAGTGGAATCATACAGTATTTGTCCTTTGTGACTGGCTTATTTCACTCAACATCATGTCCTCTAAGTTTCATCCATGCTGTACCACGTCTCAGAATTTCCATCCTTTTTAAGGATGGATAATATTCCATTTTATGGACAGATCACATTTTGTTTATTCATTTATCTATTGGTGGACACTTGGGTTGCTTCCACCTTTGGGCTATTGCGAGCAGTGCTGCTATGAACATGGATGCACAAATATCTCTTTAAGACCCTGCTTTCAATTCTTTTGGGGATGTACTCACAGGTGGAATTACTAGATCATGTGGTAATGTTTAATTTTGGGGGGGGCGGCCATATCATTTTCCATCCCCACCAGCAGTGTCCAAGGGCTCCAATTTCTCCACATCTTTATCAATACTTTTTTTTTGATAACAGCTGTCCTAATGGGCATGAGTTGGTGTCTCATTTGCATTTCCATAATGATGACATTGAGCATCTTTTCATGTGCTTGTTGGCCTATCAGTCATTCCCAAGCAGTGGTTGGCAAACTTTCTCTGTGAAGGGTGAGATAGTAAATATTTTGGGTTTTGTGAGCCAGATGGTCTCTGTCATAACTACTCAACTCCGCCACTGTGGGGAAAAAGCACCCACGGACAATACCTAAACAAATGGACGTGGCTGTGTACCAGTAAAACTGTCTGTACAAAAGTAGGTGGCAAGTGGGATTTGACCTCGTGTTCATAGTTTGCGTTAAGGCCAGGAGCACTTGGGTTATTAGTTTCTGCATTTCATTTCTTCTGTGGGACTATGAGCTCTCTGAGGGCAAGGGCTCTATTCTGGTCACTTCTGCATCCCTTTGGACACAGCAGGTGCCATTAATATTAATATTTTTCTGAGTTAACTCTCTCGCCTCCCCTTAGAGAGAACAAAGCTGGCGGTGCACGTGCCCCCAGTACCTGTTCCAGGAGGCATCTCGAAAGAGTTGTTGGGTGCCAGGCTGCAGTACGGGACAAAAGCTGAGAGGCCGTCACCCTCTTCTTTCCTTTTCTCCCCTACTCAGGTCACTCGAAAACGTTCTCTGGGAAATTCTCTGGGCTGAAGGAGCTGATGTGAACATACCTTTCGGGGCTGAGTGGGTAAGAGGCAGACCTGGCCAAGGAAAGGCTCTAATTTGGGTCCACCATCATTTGCAGCCTTTCATGATCAATGACTAGGTAGTGCTGGTGAAAAGAGGTGCTTACTGGAATGGAAGGTTCTAGTGTCTCCTAGCATGTCTCTTTTCTTTCTCACAGTTGCTAACGATCTAGACAACCTCAGATCGGAGCCTGTGTCCTGACTGCCTCTCTCCCGCACTGGCACCTTTGCTGCATTAGGCCGCCTGAATCTGAATGGGCTGTGGGTGCACCGGACTGGGATCAGGAGCCCTGGCTCTGCTAACTGCCCTTGAGGGCCCTTGGCCATGGCTTCTTTTCTCTGGGGCTCCCCCAGCTGGCCAATGTGGGAATTGGTGGCTTTCTCCTCTGAACGGCCTTCCAGTCTCGGCACTTACCCGGCACCTTCCCTGGAGCAGGGAATGAATCAAAAGCCCCTGGCCCTTGAGTAGTGAAGCTGTTCATAGAGCTCTATCCCGGCAGCTAGGCCGATGGTTGCCGTGTGCCTGAGGAAGGGGGCCAGCATTGTGGGAAGCCAGAGGAGAGAGTGTGGGGCAGCACTGCGAGGAGGAACGATGGTGGACCAGGTGCCCGAGGCGGGCAGGCTGTGCAGAGGAGAATGCTGCTGATGGAACAGCGCCGCCGTGTAGGCTGCACTTGCTGGGGTAGGGTTGGGGGAGAAAGGAGGGAGGACAAGGGAAGGCTCATCAAGCAGTATTTCAGTTCAGCAGAAGAGAGAACTTTCCACCAGCAAGCCACGAACCTTCAAGGGGCAAGGAAGCCTCGAATTTCCTGTCAGTGGACAGCACTGTGCACCAGCCCCTGGAGGGCTGGGGGCCAGAGGCCTGGACCATTTCTGTCCTGTCTGCTGAGCCTGCCTCTGCGTGGGTTCCAGTCCTTCCTGTTTTGGAGTCGTGGGCGCTGTGATGGAACACGTAGCCACAGGCACCCCCCCAGTCACCAGGGAGGTGATTATCTGCGTTTGCTGGGCACCCACTCTGTGCTGTGGGGACACTGGTTGGCTTGGTGGGGGTGGACGAAAGTACACCCAGGGACATGCAAAACAAGAGGAAGATCAAGAACCACAGGCTGGAAATCCAGAGGAGAGAGACGACTTCCAATTAGGAGGGTCAGGCCAGGCTTTTCAGGGGAGGGGAGAGGATGCTGCAGGTAGCCAGGGTGACCTGAGCAGAGGATGCATGACAGGGCATGAGCAGGAGCACGTGGCTCAGTCTGGCTGGAACACAGCAGGTGTGGAGTCCAGTGGAAGAAGTTGGAAAGGTGGGCTGAGAGAAAATGGGGACCCGCAGAAGCGTTTTCAGCAGAGGAGAGGCAGGACGCCCTGAGTGTGCATAGAGGCTGGAGCGGAGTGGGGGCAAGGGAGAAGGCAGATGATCAGCTTGGCTGTCCCAGGGCACCTGACCCAGGTGCAGATGGGGCCAGGTACTGAAGCAGGTCACTGTCGATGGGGAAGGGAAGGAAGAGGGATCGAAATGAGAGATCACCTCAATGGCCATGCAGAACTTGGCAATGGACTTTTAGTTGTCCTCAAGTTGGGAGGGAACTGCCTTCCCTTGGCCCTGATTCTCTGGACAGGATGTGCCACAGGGGAGAGGCACAGGCCTGGGTTCATGCTCCAGGATGTCATTTAAGGGCGGTGTGCTGCAAGGCCATCAGCTGTCATGAAAGGAATGGGTGGGGGTGGCCCTCAGGCGTTGGGCCTGTGAGCAGGGCAAGTTCAGTCTTGCAGTGGCCGAGGTGATATTTTAGCTGGACTCAGTGACCTGCAGGAAGGCTACTTCAGTGGTTTTGACCCATCCTCATGGCTTGTGAACACAAAGGGCCAGCCCACTCACAGGGTCTTGGTTCAGTAGGTCTGGGGTAGGGCCTGATAGTTTTTATCTAACAAGCTCTCCGGGTTACTGAGGCTGTGGTTTCCTGGTGGTTGGACCTTCTCCAAATGGGTGGAGGATCAAGATAGGTCTGGGTCAGGAATTCAGAGAAATAGGAGGAGTGGTAGGGAGGACATGCGCTGGTGGCTCAGGGTCTGTGTGCAGGGCTCTCCCAGCCTCTTCCTGGTTAACACTGCCTCGTCTCAGACTGCTTCCCTGACTTTCTGCTCTGATTTCCACCTGGGTCCAGTTAGCTTGCAGCCCCACGCCCCTTCCATAATAACCTGTACTTTCCTTTTTGGAGCTGGAAACAGTTTGAATTGTGTTTTGGTCTGGCCCCACTAGAATGTCCGCTCCAGGCAGGCAGGGGCTGTGTCCGTTTCATTCACCACTGACGCTCAGGGCAGGGCCCAACGAAGACGTGTGCACTGAACAAGTGAACAGAAGAGAGCGGAGCTCCCCTGGGAAGTAGAAGATAGGACTGGATTGGACAATCTGGAGTTTGACGAGGGACATCTTTGGCCCAGACACTGGGCAGCCTGTGTGAGCACGGCCTGCTGGCCTCCCTCATCCGGGCCGACACTGTCCTCCTGTTAGCCCTGGGACGCCTCTGCAGCGTCCGCCCAGCTAAGCCCATCTTCCCACCTATGCCTGGCCTCCTCCTTCCCTCTCACCACCTCTTGCACATCAGGTACGGAGCTCTGAGCCCCTTCCAGGGGCTTCCATTCAAGGCGTCATGTCTCGCCTACAGCTCCGTGACTGCTTGGGCCTGTGCTGCCTCCTATGTGGTCTCCCAGGCTCCAGGAGGGTGTTCAGATGGTTTTGATTCTTGCCCTCCAGTGTCTAGGAGATAGAAGCGCATCCCCCTCAGCCTGGCATTTTCAGCCTGGCCAGCCTCCCACCCCAAACCAGGCCGGTCACTTCTGTCCCCCACTGAATCTAAGACACATCATTACTTTATGGGCTGCTAGGAAACACAACATGCCACTAATTAAACTATGACGAGCCATTGCCTATGAGACTCTGACTTCTTTAGCCTGAAATGCCAGCCGGGGGTCTGCACCCACTGTTCATCCATCCTTCAAGGTCCAGCTCGATGCATCACCTCCCCCAAGCAGGTCTCCTTCCTCTGAACTCACACCACTCCATCTTAGACTGTGCATCATTTCCTGCCTGCTAGTACAGGGGCTTGGGGACGTGCCCTAATTGCATTACTCTGCGTTTCTTAGGGGCAAAGACCATATCTTATTTATGTTTATACCCCCTGCCCCACCAGCCCAGCGTCTCTCCTCTGTCAGAGGTGATCCTCCCAAGACACAAACTGCCTAGTGTGAAAATACCTCCACTGTATTCCGGTCTCCCCAGCTGCCTCCTCATCCTTGCACAAAGGTAGCGAAGAAAACAGAACTCTTTAAGATTACAGATATGTCATTAGTCTGAGAAGAAATCAGGTTCTGCAAGCAGAGTATCACCAGAAAATAGAAAAAACCAGAATTAATAGTATGTGTGCTATGCCCTTTGGAACCTGGCCTGAAGGATTCTGTGAGTGTGAGCTGCAGGGAAGTGGCCCTTTCTGCATCATCTCGTGGAGTTTCCATCCAAACTCTTTTGGCTGACTGTCACCCAGCTTTTGGCTTATGTCTACACCACTGGGCCGGATCACCACCTTGCCACTAAAAACGACAACAGAACTCTGTTGATAAAGAGAAATGTTTTATGAAAACACAGTGTAGGCAGGTGCACCAACAGTTCCTGAAAGAGAACTTGGAAGCCTAAGGAGTTGAACAACCAGCAATCTTTTTTTAATCCCAGGGACTGGGGGGTACATTTGAAATCCCGCCCCTGTGTTTACAATGTCTGCTTCCTTCTAGGGTATTTTTAAGACTCAGTTACTTGAACAGGTATGGTGGCTTCGCTCTAGTATCGGTTTGCGTGGAGATGGTTCTTCATCTCTGTTATCAAATGGCTTGTTTCTTCCTACCACTTCCTCAAGGTCACTGGAATGAAATGGGCGACTTCAGAGGTGATCTTTGTGATAAGGAACACAAAAAAGAGGGGACTGGGGGAGAGAACAAAAAGTCAAAAAAACATGAAGGTGCCTGCTTTAAGAAACCGAAATGCAATCCTGTCAAGGAGGAAATGCCAGGCTGGGCGCGGTGGTTCACGCCTGTAATCCTAGCTCTCTGGGAGGCCGAGGCGGGTGGATTATTTGAGCTCAGGAGTTCAAAACCAGCCTGAGCAAGAGCGAGACCCCATCTCTACTAAAATTAGAAAGAAATTAATTGGACAACTAAAAATATATAGAGCCGGGCATGGTGGCGCATGCCCGTAGTCCCAGCTACTCGGGAGGCTGAGGCAGTAGGATCGCTTGAGCCCAGGAGTTTGAGGTTGCTGTGAGCTAGGCTGATGCCACAGCACTCACTCTAGCCTGGGCAAAAGAGTGAGACTCTGTCTCAAAAAAAAAAAAAAAAAAAAGGAGGAAATGCCATGGCAGGGGCAGGGTATGCTCCCATCTAACTAGGAGGAGCTTTCTGAGCATAAGCTCAGAAGAAACTCATTTGAAGGATGTTAGTTCATTGGTCCACAGGGGCACAGTTATTGGCTGGGGAACGTGGTGAGGGCGCCTAGTCTCCAGGTGCCTCACTTGATCTTCCGGAGGTGGTGAAAGCTCTGCACGGTCTTCTCCACGGCGTCATCCATGGTGACCAGTGGCCGGTAGCCCATGGCCTTTTTGGCTCTCTCACAGCTGAAGTAGTGGAAGGTCCCAGCTAGCGCAACCCGCATTGGGGTGAAGGTGGGCTGGATCCGGATGACCGGACTGAGCACCATCACCAGCAGGGACAGCAGGAATGCCAGGTAGTAGGCCAGCCAGTAGGGGATGTGGTATTTGGGTGCCTCGTAGTTGAGGCCTGTCAGGATACGGGACAAGAACGTCCAGAAAGGGATGGGTTCGTCATTGGTGATGTGAAATGCCTGGCGAGAGAAAAAGAGAGAACAAGAAGTTAGAAACACAAGCTGTTGGCTCAGCCCAGAGACCCAGAATGAATATTTTGGGAAACTGGCAGCCGTCCCTGCCTGCCTGTCCCAGCTCTTCTGCAAGGCAGCTCAAAAGTGAGGCGTACGTGAAGCTCATGCAGAGTGCACCCTCACATGCCTAACTTCTGTAGCGTTTACATGGTCTGCCCTCCACTCTGCAAGTGGGCAGTGTCAACGTGTAGAGAGGGAAGGTGATGAGATTTTATCTATGGGCCAGGATTTTAAGTGAGGCTTAGACTGCACTCAGGAAGACACATTTGTTAATTTAATAATTGTTAGTCATGGTAAAACTCACCTTCTTATCTCAGGGTGCAATGAATGGGTCATATAACATTTCTCGAATGTGCTGTGTTTGTTCCAAATCAGAAGCCATATGCTCCCCGCCCGCCAACTCCCAACCACTCTGCAAGTTTTGAGTGGGGAAATGGCAGAGGCCCAGGGGAATAAAAGAGGACCCAGCAGCGAGGGGGGTTCCAAAGCCAGGGCTGAGAAATGAAGAGGGTGGGGCCCTTGGAGGGGGAAGAAAGGGTGAAGGGGACCCACACGTCCACCCCACTGCAGAGTGGCCACCATCCCAGCCCTGCTCTGCCCACCAGCTGCCAAACGCCAACAGATTCCAATATATCACCCCTCTGGAGGGTGAGAGGCGACAGGGGAAATGGAGACCTGAGGAACAAGTGGGAGCAAGGGTGAGCCATGGGACCCTGCCCCAAGTAGCCACAGCGATAGGTAGGCAGCCAGGTCACGGTTGAGGGAAAGTCGTGTCCTGAATCTGTCCAATCCCAGCTCATCGGCTCCCAGATTCTGGCTGCCCCGAGTGCTGTGACACTACGGAGATACCACACTTCCTATTAGAGGGGCTTGACCTCAGTACAAGGGGGTCCTAAAGTGCACCCTCCATGATGCAGGGTCGCAGGGGCAATTTGCCCACAAATCCACAGCAGGGAAGAGAAACCTGAAGGGAGGCACCCATGCAGGGGCAGGACGTGGGGAAATGGGCACCTTACCTTCCCGCCCAGGGCTGTGTCTTGGGAGAGGTGCTCTGCAGCCAGGATATGTCCATGCACCACGTTCTCCACGAAGGTGAAATCCACCAAGTTCTCCCCGTTTCTGCAGGTGCACAAGGAACAATTCAATTCACGCTGGGTGCGCTCAGCTGCAAGCCCAGCAGAGACCCCGCACGTGGGCCCATGCCACTCCCAAGTCTCAGCATTTGAGACACTAACTGCAGAATGGCTGCCACCTGCCTTGGCAATGCCAGCCCCCAGCACACATGGATGCCCATACTGGTTAAAGATGTGCACTGGGCCAGGACTTCTGGGGCCCCCAGGGGTAGTGGATTATCTAAGGGCCAACCAGTGAATCTGAAAGCTCGGTGTCCCGCCCAGTCCATCCTATCGTGGCCAACACTGGTGCTGTTTGCTCTGGCTCTGACATGGGCAGCAGCTCTTTAACCCCTTCCCACAATACACTGGGCCAATGCCTTTCTCTGGCCTTCACATTTTCCAACCAGTCACTTTGCAGTGTTCTCAAAGTGGCAATGAGGCTGAGTAAGGAATGGGAAGGTCAGGTGCAGGGCAAAGACAGGGAAAGAAAGGGAAAAGAAAGAAGAAGGAAATGAAGGAAGAGAAGGCACATTTGGCATATTTGGGAGACAGTTGCACTCTGTGGTCACCTGCAGAGGCCCCTCTACCTGCGCTTTCCTCAAGGAGGAACGTAAAGCCCCCACCTGCCTTCCTAGATGCAAGAAGAACTGAGCCCTTGACCCCGGGCCAATCACTTCCCCTCTGAGCCTCAGTTTCCTCATTTCCAAACAGGGACATAACTCAGGTTCCCTTGGAACCTGTGAACGTGACCTCATTTGGAAATAGGTCTCTGCTGACGTAATTAATTAAGCTGAGGTTGTACTAGAGTAAGGCGGGCTTTAAATCCCACAACTGATATCCTTATAAGATGGAAAGTTGGACATAGAAATCAAGGAGCGCCAAGGATCGCCAGCAAACTGCGGAAGCCACAACAGGCCTGGAACAGCTTCTCCCTCAGCGTCTCCAGAAGGATCTAACCCTGCCAATGTCTTCATTTTGGACCTCTGGCCTCCAGAAGTGTGGGAGAATCAATTTCTATTGCTTTCAGCACTACGTGTGTGCTAATTTGTTATGGCGGCTGCAGGAAATGAATACAGACCACAATAAAGAAGGTCACTGCTACGGTCTGAATGTTTGTGTCCCCGAACGTGCAATGGCATTGAGATGTGGGGCCCCTGGGAGGTGATTAGGTCATGGGGGCTATTCCCTCATGAATGGGATTCGCACTCTGATAAAAGAGGCCCAAGGGAGCCTGTTTGCCCTTCCACTGTGTGAGGACACGTAGCAGTTGCCACCTATGAGGAATGGGCCCTCACCAGACACCTGATCTGCTAAAGCCTTGATCTTGGACTTCCTAGATGCTTTGCTCCAGATCTGTGAGCAAAACATTTCTGGGGTTTATAAATTTTGTTATAGCAGCACAAACAGACTGAGACAGTCACATCACAAAAGAGCTACAAAGCTGCATGGCTACTTGCAAGGTGCTCTGTGACCATGCAGGGATGGAGGAGGGCTGGGGAAGAGCCACTGTGGGTTGACTTACCCAATCATAAACTTCATCTTGCCGTTCCTGGCTGCCTCAATGAGGACGGGGACCAACTGGGGGTCCCTTGGGCCAAAAATGCCATGAGGGCGGATGGCTGTGGTGAAGAAATTCTTCTCAGGGTCATTGGCGCCCAGCACTACCTGGAGGAGAGAAGGAGCATGTTCGCTGCAAACCTGTCGGCCAGAGCCAGGACAGTTCCTTACTGGGTGAGCAGCACCTGCTGTGGGGGACAGACAGATGACTGGTATGCTTCTGGGCTACCTCTCTATCCTGTCCACCCCCGACCCACATCTGAAAATGCAGGAGGGACAGTCGGGTGCAGACCAGTAGGATCAAACAGAAAGGCCTGGGTGTGGGTCCAAAGGCTAAAATGTGCAAACGCAGCCAGAAGACGAGCCTTGGCAGTGGTCTGCGGCAAAGATCAGAGGGTTCCGGTTACCGAGTTAGTTGTGAGCCTCCAGTGAGCTGGCACCACCAAAGGGGTCCTGACTTAAGATGCGCGTGTGGCTGCATGTCCCCACCAGGCCTGGGCTGCTCCAGGAAAGGACTGTGACCAAGTCCAGTGGGCCAGAAGGTCTGGGAAGGGAAGGGGATGAAGACCAGGCCCCGGGAGAGGCAGGGCAGCGCCGGAGGCGAGCTGGCACGTGCACAGGGCTGGAGCACGTGCTCCAGCAGCGGCAGCTTTTATTCCCATTACCACTGTCGGGAAGATATAAAAGGTGTCCTATGCGTGGCTTGCTGCACAAACTAGAACTCAAGAGCCTGAAAACATATTTGCCTCAAAGTAACAAAACAAAGGATTTGTGTATCTCAGTAAAAATACCGATCATAAAGATGCAGACCCTGAAGGGGGTGCCGTGTAGGTTGCTTCAGTAAGGTGAGTCTAGTTACTGCGGTATCATGTCATTGAGGCTTTCTACTCTACGGTGGCAAAATGCTTGTATATGTTTTCGTCCCAGCAAAATTTTTTTTTTTTTTTTGATACAGAGTCTCACTCTGTTGCCCGGGCTAGAGTGCTGCAGCATCAGCTTAGCTCACAGCAACCTCAAACTCCTGGGCTCAAGCGATCCTCCTGCCTCAGCCTCCCGAGTAGGTGGGACTACAGGCATGCGCCACCATGCCCGGCTAATTTTTTTTTATGTATATATATTTTTAGCTGTCCAGCTAATATTTTTAGTAGAGACGGGGTCTCGCTCCTGCTCAGGCTGGTCTTGAACTCCTGAGCTCAAACGATCCGCCCGCCTCAGCCTCCCAGAGTGCTAGGATTACAGGCGTGAGCCACCACGCCCGGCCCCAGCAATAATTTTAAGCTACTTGTTGACTGAGTTTGTAATAATCAGAGCCACCCCTCCTCTGGTCCCCACCGTAATAGAGGAAATGACTAAATAAGCCTTCAAACGACCTCTACCAGGGCTCGTCTCTATGTCTGAAGGGAAGAGAGTTGAACTTACATTTCCTTTATTATCAGTAAAGTGGTTTTAAAGCCAGCAGTGGGTCCTGACCTTGGCTAAAGGGAGGCTGCAGGTGACTGACTACCAGGGTCATTTGCAAGCTTTGCTTATTTCCAGTTGAGCACCCAAACATCGGTGAAAGCGAGACACTGGTGGTTGGAGCCATGGCTGTCATCTGGAGCTCCTGAGCCTACATGGGCTCAGCCCTGGTGCAGTCCTTGGGTGAGAGGCACAGGGTCTCCATGGTGACTGAACATCTTGTAGGACCCAGTGGAGACTTTAGTGCTTCTTGGACCAAGTCTGAGCATAGCCTGGAGATAGACAGGACTCTGGCTCACCAGAGGCCTGGCCTCTGCCCCTGGTCTGGGGCGGCCCTCATGCCTCCCTGTGGACCAGTTCTGCTGGGACTTTCTGAGCTGCAGTTATAGCAAACAGTCGAGAGGCAGCTGGCTCCCAGGCAGCACAGGGGGACGTGTGCCAGTCGGGTGCTCAGCTCCAGTTCGATAAGTACTGGCTTTGAAAGGAAACCTCAGTGAGTACAATATGCTGCAAAGAGCTGGGAGAGGTAAACTCAGCTACCCAGCTAAGGCAAGTTGTCTGGGGCTCAGGAGACCCCTGGCCTGCAGGTTAGGATGGCCTCAGGGCAGCATCCTCCACCAGGAGCTAGCAGCTGTTGGCTGCAGCCTTGCAGCCTGAAGGCTCAGAGGCTATCACTCAACCCCCTAAAACCAGGTGTCCCCTGATGCAGCTGGTTTTCCAAGTGGAAAAGAACTTTTCCTTAAAATAAAGCCAGATCCTTCCATTGTTTATTTTTTTTAAAAAAGGAGGGGGTACGAGTGCCATGATGAAGGTGCATGCAGCCCGCGTCCTGCATGCACACTTGCAGTCGGCGTTCAATTCCCATAGCAGGCGAGGAAGCTCATGTGGCAAAAAGTGCAGGCTCTGGAGAGAGACTGCCTGGGGCAGCCACCTTCTAGCTGCATGGCCTCAGGAAGGTTCTGAATCTCGCTGTGCAGAAGTCCTCATCTGTAATCTGGTGGCGGTGGGATTGTTGTGAAGTTTAAACATGGAAAATCCCCTTGGAAAATATTCGGAAGTATTTGGCCACATGAAGCTATTCTGATATTACTGTTAAAATTTAATTTGACCCACAGATTTTACTTCCCAATTACGCACTTAGGTCTCAGAATACTAACTTTGTAAGTTCATAAAGGTTTTCCTTAAGAATCTAAACCCATCAGACGTCCACACACTGAAACAGTTCTAAGTACATACTCTCTCCTGTAAGATCTTAGTCTCTGTGTAGTAGTCAATGGGTTTCACGGCATAGGGGAGGTCTTCGGTTCCATTCTTGATGTCGATGCCTTCAAAGACGACGCTGGCACTACTGGTTAAAATGAGTTTCTGGCAGAGGAAGATTAAAAAAATACCAGTAAGGCATTATTGCTGTTCAAACAGTCTGATGAGCCTGTGTGAAAGAGAATCACGTGGCATCTCTTTGCTATCCTTGCATTCGAGGCCCTGCACAAATTATCTGCTGCAATGCCTTTGCCTTTCATGCCTTCTTAAAGTAATCCAAAGATTACCATCTTTTGCAGCTGTGTGGATTCCAGACACATTATGGTATTACATTCTAAAACAGCAGATCTCACATTTTTTCTATCCAATCACACGTGAGGGACAGAACAGACTCCTGTTATGCATGGTATCTCACCGCAAGAATGATTCTCCACGGGGGAAGGGTGGCCCACAAACTTCTAGAGGGAGGTCAGTTTGAAAAAGATCACTGGTTATTCTGATACTGACCGTGCCATGTGAACACATGCATGCGTATGCGCATGCACACAACTGCTTAAGAAATTCTATTCTTAAAAATTAAAAAAAAAAGCCAACTCTGTAGACATCTTCAGAGTTTAGTTTTGTAATAAAAACTGTTTGAATAATTAGACCTTTACATTCCTGAAGATAAAATAAAAATGTAATCTTTTATCTTATTTTGCTCAATAAAATTGTTCAGAAGATCAAAGTGGTAAAGACAATGTAAAATTTAACATTTTAATACTGAAGTTGTACACTGTTTTACTTAACATTTTGGGGAGTAACTGCCTCTGACTTCAACTTAAGAAAACACTTTTTGTTGCTAATGTAATCAGTTTTTGTAATGGTGTCAGCAAATAAAAGGATGCTTATTATTAAAAAAAAAAAAAACAAAAAAAAATTCTATTCTTAAAGGATGATGTTCTCTTCTGAGGGTCCCCAGCACCCAGCCTTCTGGTTAAGGGCAGCTCATCTAACACTGGACACTACTGGCTTGAATCACATCGCTACCACTTTTATTCAACATTATACTAGAAGTCCTAGCCAGAGTGGTAGGATAGGACAACCAAAAATTTATAATGATTTCAAAAGAAACCAAAGTGCCATCACTTGCAGATGATAGAAATGTCTAGACAGAAAATACGAGAGCAGCAAAGTTGTTGAATTAAAAATCAGTATGCAAAAATTAACTGTATTCTTATACATTAGCAATAATTTAAAATATAACATAAAAGTTATTAAATAACAAAAAAATGAGGTACATAGGAATAAATTTAACAAGAAATGTATACAACCTTTATGAAGTGAAGTATAAAACTCCATCGAAAGACATATCTCTCTCTTTAGAGAGAGATAAATGGAAAGAGCCCATATTTATGGAACAGAAGGCTCAATATTGGGAAGATGTCAATTCTCTCCAAAAGTACCTACAAGTTCAATGCAATTACAATAACAGTCTTAACAGCCGTTATGAAAGAACCTAACAAGCTGATTCTAAAATGTATGTGGAAGAACTTGGTTCAGAATAGCCAAGTGGATTTCAAAAAGTTGCTCGGTGGGTGACTTGTTCTACTGGATACTGAGACCTATCCTAAGGCTATCTTAATGAGGGCAGAGCTTCCCAGCACAGACACAAAGAGGCTAACAGACCAGAAGAGAGAGCCTGGGGACAGGCCTATGGAGGATATGAACACCCAAGACACGCTGTGGGTGGCATTGGACAGTGGGGAAAGGATGGGTGAGGCAATAAATGGTGCTGAACTGGTTATCTATATGGAAAAAAATTAGATCTCTATTTCACACCGTATGTATACATAAATTCCTGGTGGATTAAAGACTTAAATGTGGAAAATAACACTGTAAACCTTTGAGGAAAAAAATACTTTAGACAATCTTTTGATCTCAGTGTTGGAACACGTTCCTTAGCTATAACACAGAAATCATTTCCTGCACCCATACCCACTAAGCCAATCTGCCTTTTCATGGAATGAACCAGAGCCACACATACCAAGCTCAAAAACATAACGCTGGGGGGAAAAAATGAAAGCTTTAGGAGGATACGTTCAATAAGATACCATTTTTATAGAGTTTATAACATGTGGTTGCACATGGAGCAAATAGAAATGAGAAACCCAAATTGAGAATATTGTTGCCCACGGCCAAAGGAGGGCAATGGCATCAAGAATGGGCACATGGGGCCTTCACCTCCACCAGTAACATCACTTCTTCAATGCTGTGATGAGTGTCAGGTGCTGTATTATTCCTGAATCTTTTTTTGTATGCCGTTTTGTATGCCATTCAGATCTTCCATTTAACAAAGAGCAACAGTGTACTTCCCAGAGCTCCAGCTACACCAGCATGGTGGAGTGCAGACAGTCTGGGATTGGGCATCGGAAAATCTATTTCAAATTCCACCTCTTCCATTTACTAGCAAAGAGACCTCACTAGCCCCTGGTTACCTAACGAGGAGCGAATTAGGTGATAATTGCAGCAGCAGAAAAGTGTCCTGTCAACTGCAAAGTGTAGGGTCACTATTATTATAAGGGATCCTTTCCAGGGCATGGAGCCCAGAAGACCTCCTGTCCCGCCCATCCCAGCTGGGCCAGCTGATGCTGGGGACTGGCCAACAGGACTTCCCTCCCCCGGCTCGCTTCAGGCTTTTCTGTGGCATGTGTCACTGTGAGGGTCAGGGTGCTGGACTGCGAGGGAGCTGTTTCACCCAGCGGCTGGCGTCCTATAAAAAACTAGGATTTCTAACAATGCAGCAAGCTAAGGCACGGCAGAAATTCGCATCCCCTCAGGCCTGAGTTATAACATGCTTCTACTGGCTAAAAGTGAACAGTTTGTTTTTCTTTTAAGATATAAGCAAGGTCTGGAAAACAGTGTGGTGGTTCCTCAAAAGGTTGAACATAGAATTACTGTATGATCCAGCAATTCCACTTCTGGATATATCCCCAAAAGAACTGAAAGCAGGAACTGGAACAGATATTTGTACATCATAGCAGCATTTGTTCATAGCAGCATTATTCACAACAGCCAAAAGGTAAAAACAACACAAATGTCCACTGATACGTGCATGGATAAGCAAAATGTGGTCCATCCATACAATGGAAAGGACAGGAAGGAAATTCAGACACACACTACGACATTGATGAACCCTGAAACATTATGCCCAGTGAAATAAGCCAGGCACAAAAGGACAAATACTGTATGATTCCACTTATATGAGGGGCCTCCAATGGTCAAATTCATAGAGGCAGAAAGTAGACTGTGGTTGCCAGGGGCTGGGGAGAAGGGGGACTGGGGAGTTGTTTAATGGGTACAGAGGTTCTGTTATGGAAGAAGAAAAAGTCCTGGAGGTGGAGGGTGGTGATGGTTGTACAACACTGTGAACGTACTTAATGCCGCTGAACTGTATACTTAGAAATAGTTAGGGTGGTAAATTTTATGTGATGTATATTTTATCACAATAAAAAACTATAAGCAAATGTCTAAATTTTGTAGCTCTTTAATCAAAGGCTAATAGCCTTAGGGTCCTCAGATAATCTATTTGTATACAGTTAGAATATTACAATTCAAATTGGCCTTGGCAAGCAGACCTTCACGATATCCAGTGACTTCTAGAGCTTCATTTCCAAGATCTTCACAACACTTTAAGAAGCTATCCTGGCTAGGCCCAGGAAGACTACAAGAAGAACCACAGCCTTCTTGCCCTGAGAAAGGGCCATCAGTGTTCCTGACAGCACTTACTCCAGCTTTCCCCTTACCTGAACCCCAGCCTCTTTGCAAGTTTCAATGACATTCTTGGTGCCAATGTAATTCACTCTATAAAAGAGTTCCTTGCTGTTACTGGCTGGTGGGGGTGATGCACAGTGGAAAACTGTGCTTACGCCTTTCAGAGCTGGGTATAGGTCCTGGAAAAGCAAACAAAGACAAAATAGTCACTCTTGCTCGGGTGGGTCGACAACCGTCTCACATTCTCACTGTCCAGCCCGGGGCTTGCAGGTTTCCTGTCCTTTTATAGTTCTACAATCAACATGCAAACACATTCTTACAAAATATTCAACAATATAGAAGAAGTCTATGGGATAGAAGCCAAGTTGTCTCTTTAATTGCCCCCTCCCCATTAACCAGTCCCCGATCAAAAGGGGTCTGGGGCACGAGAAGCCTGTGCGATCTAGACAGCGGCAACACCACCCTGGGTGTTCAGGGCACCTGGGGGTAAAACACCTGGGGAAGGTGAGCACATAGACAGAAATTATGAATCATGTGAAAGTGTTCCACACCATTACAGATAGCGTAAACAGCCAATACACCAGCGTATTCCTTCCTGGGAAACTTGACATGATACGGCAACCTGAAAGGGATCTTCCAATAGGTCTAACTTACTGCTAAAAGGAACCAGAGCTCCTGTAAGAAATGGCTGATTGCAGATTTGGGGCAAAAAATACACGGGATGAGCCAGGAATACCTTGTGGTACCCGAAAGTCAGGAAGCAAGCCAAGGCTACCAAGTTCACATTAAAAGGACTTGGGGGCCAACCTGAAAAGGCTCCCACTGGCCAAAGAAGGATAAGACAGTTTGATTACCAGTAAGAATAAAAATTCTTTCCAAAACTGGTGGATAAAGGAAAAGAATCAGGCATTTAATCTGCATAAGGTACAAAGATATGAGCCACTAAATGAAGAGGAAATGATAGCATGTCACCATTTTGCCAAACCTTAAGTAAACAGAATGTGCTTCGTGGTGGTCACCAAAAGAAAGACAACCAGGAATTATGTGCTTAGATTCACTAATATTTTGCCACAAAGTACTCTCTCTACATACACAGAGACACAATTTTTTCTGAAACCATTTGAGAGGAAGTCGCAGACATCATGCTGCTTTGCCTCTAACCGCTTCACCAGGCATCTCCTAAATAACCACAAAACAATGTGTATACTGTGTATAGTTATATATAACTACTGACTATGAATACACATTTTTAAAGTCCTTTCCTTCCACATCTTTCACCCACGTTATATCTGCATTTCCCTTCATAAAGTCCTGAGATTCATAATCCATCGCTGCCACTTTGGCTTCGTTCCTCTCTCCCTTCATCAAATCTGTCTGGTTAAATGCAACTCGCCCCTTCTCCATGGCTGCACCTGAGCAGCTGAGTGTAGCTGGAGAACAACACACCATGCTGGAGTGTCTCCTTTTAAATTCGTACTCGAGGAGAGCGGGAAATAATATACTGGCAACAACCGCATGGCAGTTGGGATAGCATTTTGGAGAGAAGTTAAAGCTTGCTAAAGATTCTCATCTCCTTTGAGGGGACAGAGCAGTGGTCAAAAGAGACAAAATCCCTGCTTTCATGAGCTTACATTCTACCATGGAGAGGAGGACAAATAAGCGAATAAACAAGTACATACAGAGCATGTCAGTGCTGCCAAGGGCCATGCAGAGCCATAAGGCAGAGACATCAGGAGGGGCTTGTTGCTTTGCATAGCATGGTCAGGGACAGAAAGTTAGGGAACAAGGTCTGTGGTTCTCGAAGAGCATTCTTGGCAGAAAGAGCAAGTGCAAAGGTCCTGAGGCAGAAACTTGGTTGGTGGCCAGCGTGCCTGGAGCTGAGCAACAAAGGGGAATGTAGGAGGGAGTGAGGCCAGACAGGTCGTGGGGGCACACCACGCGGGGCCTCGTGGGTGATTATACAGGCCCCTGTTGTTTGCTTTACACAGGACTGGACACCAAGGGAGGCTTCTGTACAAGGAGCAGTGTGATCTGATTTATGCGTCAGAAGGGCCCCTCTAACATCTAGGTGAGAGGTAATAGTGGCTTGGACCTGAATAGCAGCAATGGAAGGAGAAGTTGCTGGATTGGGGACCTATTTTGAGAGTGGAGTCAACAAGACTTGCTGGTGGATGGGATGGAGAGTATGGGAGAGAAAAGAATCAGAGACGAATGTAAGACTTTTGGCCAATGCAACTGGAAGGACAAAGTGGGTCGTTTATGGAGATGGAAAAGACTAGCAGGAGTAGGTTTGCTGTGGTGGGGGAAGGACTTTGGTAGGAAACCAGGAGCTCAATTTGGGATATGGCAACCTTGAAATATCTGCAGGTATCCAAATAGGGACGTCCAGCAGGCAGCTGGATATATATAAGGCCAAAGAGCTATGGGTTGGAAATAGGACACTGGGAGCTTGTCAGCTTCCAGACAGTGATTCATCCATGAGATACTCGAGGCCTGTGGCCATGAAAAAGGCAAGATGCATCAGGCTTGTGTGCTCTTCTCCAGCCCTGTTCAGCCGCCCAGAGATGCACGGGGAAGAGAGAGGATCGGATTTAACCAGGACTGGGGTCATGTGACATACAACTTGTTTGTGTTACCCGGGCCAGGGTCTAGTCCCCACTGATTCCAGCAAATACCTGTCTAGGCATTGCTGTGGAGGTGTTTTGTAGCTGTGGTTGGCATGTACAATCAGCCAGTTTAAAGTAAGGAGATTACCCTTGATGATCTGGATGGGCTATATCCAATCAGTTGAAAGGCCTTAAGAGAAAAACTGAGGTTTCTGTAAGAAGAAGTTCTAGGACTGCAGTGTCCACTCCTGCCTGAGTTTCTGGTCTGCCCTACAAATCTCAGACTTGCCGAACCAGCATCCATAATCATGTTAATCAATTCCTTGATTTAAATTGCAGTCTCTCTCTTGTTTTCCCTCTCTCCCTGTCTCTCTGCTCCCCGCTCCATATACCCCCCTACTGGCTGTTCCTCTAGAGAACCCTGATGGGTACATACAACAGAAGAGAAAGGGCAAGGAGTGACGACTGTGTAAGAGAGCAAGTGGCCCCCAGAAGCAAAAGCAGTGAGGTACAAATGGGGCGACGGAGAGTAGGTGTGGCTGGGTGCCTGGGTGGGGCAGAGAACTGGTGCAGTGCAGGCACTAGAGGGCGTGAGCTGGAAAGACAGGAGGTGGCGCTCAGAGTGGAATGCCTGCAACTAAGACGGAGGAGAGGACACATTTACTGGTGATGGCAAGGTGCAGGTCTAGGGAATGACAACGGAGTACAGGACAAGGTCGTTGGGTGAGAGGCGGCCAGGGCTGAGAGGGGTAGGGGTGTACATAGGGTCATCTACATGAATGTTGTTGAAGAGGGTGACATTGGCCAGGAGATGAAATCACTAAGGAACGAAGTGCAGTCACCCAGGAAGGGGAGCGAGTGGCTGTGGATGGCTGCCATGAGGAAGGCTGCTGGGATTTGTGCAGTCTGTTGGTATCACCTTCAACGTTGCAGGGGGCTTAGAGCAAAGTGAGGGAGAACAGTCTGAAGTTGGCGATGATGAGCAAGGAAGATGTCTATGCCATCTCCAGGCCCATGGGTGTGAGCAGTGTGGGAGAGGAAACAGCTATAGACATACTGGCCTTAACACTTAAACAACAAAAACAAGACCAAAAACTGTAAGGCAAATGGCACCAAAGGTAAGAGTAAGAGCTCAGCAACAGGCAATATGTGCAAACATGCAAAATGTTGGCATTCCAAATAGGTCAGTAAGGAAAATGAGGTAACCCCAAAGACAAATGGGCAAAGGACACATGCAAGCATTTCACACAGGAGGAAACCTGAATATCCACCAGGAAAGGGCACAGTGCCAGTCACCTGGTCAGGGGGGACACATGACTCTGATCATCACTGAGGTACCATTTCACACTCTTCAGAATGGCAACACCAAAAAGTCTAATTATGCTCAACGTTGGCAAGGATGTGGAGCCATGGGGATTCTACCACATTGCTCACGCGAATGTAAAACTCACACGGCAGCTTCGTCCAGCCGTTTGGCAAAATCTAATAAGATTCAAAATACTAACACCCTTGCAATATGGATGAAGCTTGAAAACATTAGGTTGAGTGAAAGAAGCCAGTCACAGAAGTCTAATCCACAGAGACAGAAAGCAGATCACTGGTTGCCAGGGGCTGGGAAGGGAGGAGAAGGAATGGGGGCTGAATGGGGACAGGATTTCCTTTTGGGGGGATGAAAATGTTCTGCAATTAGATAGTGGGAGATGACTGCACAACTTTATGGATATAGTAAAAACCACTGAATTACATACTTTAACATGTGAAATTTATGGCATATGAATTATATCTTAATAAAAACACCCTGTGGCCCAGCACTTGCTCTTTTGGGTGTCTACCCTGGAGCAGCAGTCAGCACACTGGCCTTTTTGGTAAAGTTTTATTGGCACACGGCCATGCACATTCTTTATGCGTTGACCATGGCTGCCTTCACGCTACCACAGCAGAACTGGTAGTTGCAACAGAGACAACAGTTAGTCATTCTGAGTAGTAAGAATGTGGTGTGTGCTAAATTCTGTTCTGTAACTTTAAAATTTTTCAAAATAAAACAATTTTTTCAAACAACATATTGGCCGGCCTCTGAGTACATGAAGCACCGTGGTTTCCCTCTGTGGACCTGTGTGAAATTAGCAAGGCTGCGTGATCCATTACCTGTTGGCTGCAGAGGTCACCCAGAAAGAACTGCACCTGGGGATTATCAAACTCTTGCCGGATATCGAATACATTGACAGCATAGCCTCTTGCCAGCAACTGCTCCACCATGTGCTGCCCCAGGAATCCAGAGCCTCCAATCACTGTGCATTTCTTAGCCTGTGGAAAGAGGGAGGGTGGGGAGGACTAGAAGTTATAAGGAGCACACTTACACATGCTGAGCCACGGCAGTGGCAGATACATTTGTTTGTTTTGCTCGTAACTCTTCTGGAGCCAAGCTGGAAGCTTTATGTAATTCTGCTGTTCTATCACTAATGCAGCCTCCTCTCCTGGGATCGGTAAGGAGGGAAGACAGAACGGATGATACTGAGATAGACTTTGCTTGGATTTGATGACAAGAACCATGTTTTGTAGTGAAAGAAAATTAAACCACCTATGATCAAAACTGGACAATCTGGGGAGGAGCCAAGATGGCGGATGAGACAAGCCGCCAGTCAGAAGGTCTCTGCAAAAAAGACGAATTTTAGAAGAAAGAGAAAAAAAATAAGCGAGCAGAGAAACATAGATCGGGTGAGGGTCGGAAGGAAGAGTGCCTGAAACTACAGGAGACTCCACGGGAAGACGTTACGGAGGAGAACTGGAAGGAGAGAGGTCCAGAGAGGCTTGGAGACCAGCGACAAGGGTAGGTGGAGCGGTTAACTTCCCCCTCCCTTGCATCTCGGACTGCTGGTGGGCTCCTGAGCAGCTGGAGAGACCTGCCGACACCAGCCCAGAGACGGCTGCCGCCAGTGAGCAGTGGCCTCTTGCGGACTCAGCGCCGGGCTCCCAGCCCCCTTGGGGCACCTTCCCGGGCGCAGACCGGAGCCTAGCGGTAGACGCCATAGTCCTAAATTCTCTCCTTCCCCTCCCTACCCGTGCGTGCCCAGAGAGACAATTTAGCCGTCACACGGAGGCATCTCCAAGGAACGGGATCTCTCCTTTTGGGGCCCTACAGCAGACTGAGGGGTACTCAGACTGCGAGTTTCCTGCCCGCCAGCCCTCCCAGGTGCTACTTGCCTGGGGACTCCAGGAGAGTGGGGCAAATCCCGAGGTGGAGTGAAATCGATCCAGCTTGGGCACCCTGTAGGTGATTCGGGACCAGCACCTCTCCCCCTGGCAGGGTCAGGGATTGATCTCCAGGGTCCAGGGGTCAGGCCTGCAGACCAGACCCCGTACACCCAGGTCACGGCCCTGGGGCATGGAGGAGAGATCTGTGAAAGAGCCTACTGAGGAGTGTGCGCCTTCAGGGGCAGATCAGCGTGCCTGACCGGCAACCCTCCTCCTAAAAGAGGGCTGTGTACCCAGCTCAGGCTACGATCCTGGGTAGGGACCTCCTGGCCCACGTCACAGCCAGGGGCAATCCATCGGCCTGAGGTCCCGCTTGCTGGCAGAGGCCTGGGAAAGGCCACGGAGAGGGGAAGAGTGGAGGGGAGCCAGACCTGCTCCAGAGTGCGGGTCTTGGACAGCCCCAGCCCCCAAGCTCAGACTTTCAGCTGAGTGGACCCATTTCAGCCCCTCCCGGCAGCTTTGCACAGAAACAAAGAGCAGACCTTTGAACCTGCTAGCAGCAGTTGTGGAGCCTGAGGGCAGGCTTGCCCAACTCAGCCCCACCCAGACTCACTCCTGGTCCCCACTGAGGTGGAGAATAGGCACACACCTTGAAGTCCCCACCCACCACCCGAGGCACAAGAGGGCCTCTGCAGAGGAACAAGAGCTGGCTACAGGACCCAAAAACAGCACTGCAGCTCGCTCCTCCCAGCAAGTGCCACCTACTGACTCGGGAAAATCAACAAGAAAAAATCAAACGACCCTATCAAAAAGTAGGCAAAGGACATGAACAGAAATTTTTCAAAAGAACACAGAATAATGGTCAAAAAACATATGAAAAAATGCTCAACATCTCTAATCATCAGGGAAATGCAAATTAAAACCACA